ACCCTGTCTAATAAGCATTATTGCTTTATTCCCATTTTATAGATGAGGAAAGAGACTTATATCAGCAAACTAGTAAGTAGAGGGGCCACAATTTGTCAGTTTCCATGGTCCATGTACCTATAGGGGTGTGTTAGAAGTTAAAAGGAGCAGGGGAAGTTTTTAGCAATGTCTGGCCCTCTGGAAGTGCTTAGGAGATGTTAAATGTTATTACTACTGATATTTCTTCTTTTCCGAGAAACTCTCCAGCCATTAAAAACATGCACCCATTGAAGAGAAACAAGGTGGCTTTGTACTGCAATCGCTGTCGAAATGAGCAGGGACATGGTCATGAGTAATACACAGCCATGACTTGAGCTTGAACATGAGGAAGCCTCACATGTCTTCAGCCGTGAAGAGAATTGCCTTGGGGGGTCATTAGGGAAAGCACTGTAGCAAGGTATTCTTTCCCCCCGTGGGACATGATGGTTTTGCCGCTATTAATAACAGATGTGGCCAGGCAATTACAGACTGGAGATGGGTAATCACATTTGGCATTTTAAAGCTTAATCTGATCACCTCTAGGGTCAAGGACTCAGTTTTCATAATGGTCAAAGTCTGCCTTGTGCCACCATTTATGGGCTATAGTTCAAGCCTTAGAGGTCTGGAGTGTAGTTTATCTTTGTTCTGCAGTATTCATGTGCTCATGCAGGAGCAGGCATGTGTGCATATATGTGTGCGTGTGGACGTGTGATTTATTTTTTGTGCATGTAAAAGCTGCTCCAAAGCTCAGCCTGGGGGAGCCCTGTCCCCCTGGCTCCACTCAAGTTTACCTGATAAATGTTTCTTTTGAGAAAACAGGAAGTCAAGGGGCCCCTGATTCTTTCACCTTTGCTACAACTCCTTTTGCAATTCCTAGGCTTTGGCTCACTTGGTAAGTGAGGGCAGCTTCCCAGTGTTTACTTTTTTGTCTCTCCCACACGACCGAGAGCTCCCTAAAGGCAAAAACTCATTTCAGTCATTGAATTCTCAATGTCTAGAATAGTGTCTGGCATATAGTAGACACTCAATAAACACTGAAGTTTCCTTCCAGCTACAACATGGAAGGGTTCCATGAAATCATAACCTAGTTCATTGTGGTGATTCTAACGCTCGGCCCCGGTAACGCCGGCTGTCCGTCAGCTCTCTTCTTTTCTCTGCCCTCGGTTGAGACACCTTCATGAACATCTGCACTGGGATATAAGTAATATGTACAAAGGAGGTCATACTGAGATCTGCCACACTTTCTTCTTCTTCTCTGGCAGTATTGAAAATGGTTTTGAAGAGGAAGAAACTGAAAGTATTAATGTGAATTGTCAGTGATCTGCTGGTTTTAGTTATGCAGGCTGTGCCTGTCAATCACTCTCATCCATAGTAGAGAACTGGCCACCCACAGCACCTGTCACCAAGGCCTCTATATTCAGTTCCCTTTGATGAGTAAGCTGGAGAGGCTACTAACCAACAACGTCTGAAAGCTTCAAGTCCATCTCTCCAGATCTGACCGAAATGACCAAGGAGGACATTCTGGTGTTTTCGTTTGCTTTCACGTGCATTAGGCAGGATTCTTGGATGTAAACAACATGAACAAAGTCTGCCCAATAAAAGCAGAAGAGGAATTTATTTTAAGAATTCCAGGTACCACAGAATACCAAAAGCTGGTTCCACCACCACCGGCTCCACCAACACCACTGATAAACACTGCCTGCCTCTTAGGGACCCCACCACCAGGGTGACGTTTAACTTGTCCCTCTATCTTTGCACTGCCTGATCACGGTCCAAAGTTCAAACAGGGGCATCTGTTTGGCCAGCTGGGTCACATCCTCAGCCAAGTGTCTTTCTCCACTGGGCTCCCAAAGTGGGAGAGAAGGTCCTAACTCTCACGGGATGGGGACTCAAATAGGAAGGAAGTCTGCATGCTGGTTAGCCACAGAGAATGGCAAGTGCCCACTACATCACAGCTCAGTAGTGTAGCCTCTGGATGCTTTGATAGTTTATAGAGACCAGAAAAGCTCAGTCTCCACAGTCACAAGCCCAGTGCCCCAAGTGGGGCTGACTCGTGATTGATGTACACAGGCTTGCTAGGAATTCTTGCTCTAAAGGTTAAAAGAATCACCAACTAAAATTAAATTTTAATCAGTTAGCAGTTTCTTGCTACTTTACCCAAGGCAATTTTAGAAGTTGCCGGTGAGCACCGCAGGCTGCCTGTATGTCATAACATTGTGCTGCCAGCCAGGACAAACCCAAGGGAACTTTTAACTCTTGATCAAGTTTCCATTCCCCTCCTATTCAGCCAGAAGTCCTCCCACCTCAAAGAAGCAAGATGACTCCAGGCCTTGTTCATTCTCAACCAAGTGCTTACTCTGGAACTCCAGGGACACCGCTTCAGACCTTGGCCCCAGCTCCCTGCAGAAGGGCCTCTGGGGTGAGCAGCTCATTTGGTGCGTGGCAGGATTCATGCTTGGAAGGAAAACTTTCCTTAGCAAAGACTGGTGATCCTCAAGGCAACAAAAAAGACCGAGACCAGCAGAGGAGCAGGTATGGGTGGGTAAAGCGGAGGTCACAGCAGGAGGTGGCCCATCCAACAACAGCAAAAGGCATACAAGGTGCAGCAATTTCACTTCCAGCAATCTGTTCCACACGTATGCTTGTACAAGTGCATAACGATACCCATGCAGGAATATTCACTAAAGCACTGTCGGCAACCGCAAACACAAAAACTGGAAATAACCGTCCAAAACTAGTTCTATATATTACTGTATAATCACACTGAGGCATTGCGCACCTATGTAAAAAGATGTGATATTGTCAGTAAATTGAGAAATGCAAGTGGCAGAATGGTGTGTACAGTATGATTTTGTTTTTTAAGAAGGGACTATAAAGGGAGGCTTGTGTATGAATAAAACATACTGGAAGGGTAGCTTGGAAACTGTTGGGAGTGGGGGGGCAAGGAAAGGCAGGCCTTTACTTTTCACTTTATATCCCTGTTCTGCTTGAATGTTTGTTTATTGTGAGAATAGAGTCTATTTATAATTAAACTAGCTTAAAATATTATACAAGTGAAGCATAATAAGAAAAGGAGTAAAACTGGTCATTATTAAGAAGGAGTCAGGGGTCAAAATTAATTATTTTCCCAAATGAGACGGCTCACCCGAGCCTGTGGGCAGGCCGGCTCCTCTCACTGCAGAAAGCCTTTCTGCTTGCAGGCCCGAGGGGAGAACCATCGCTGCACCTCTAACTCAGGAACACCTCGGAGCCAGGGCTGCGCTCCACTCAGGTGAGGTTCTACTTTCTGCCTCCTGCCCAGGCCTTTGCTGGGACTCACACCACACCCAGGCTCAGCAAGTGTCACAGAGGTAGGGGTGCTCCCTCCACCCCCTTACCCCCCAAAAGTCCATTGTTATTAAAAGCATGGGACTAGAGTTGGGCCCACTTGGTTTGCAGTCCTGTAATGATGGTTAAGAAGCTGACAGAAACCAGTTTGGAATTTAACTGAATTCTAGAGCAGGAAAAAGAAAGACCAGACTTTACTGATGACCCTAGGGAGATTCTTCTTCTAACTTACCAAAGGCAGCCCCAGAACAGTCTGTATCAAAGCTTGGATGACAAGAAGTGGGGAGAGGAATGGAGATGAGCTTAGTGAAGGACCCCAAAAGAGAAAAGGAGCTCTTCCTAACTTTCTACTGACACAGATGAAGTTTACCCCCACAAAATCCGGTAGAAATGCAGCCACAGGCGCCCCACGGGAAGGACTGGGGCGCATTAGCCAAATCTGGTCTAAAGCCGCGGCTCTTCTTACCCACCACTTCCCACTGCTCCAAATCCTCCAGATGAAGTGTTACCTCTTCTCCACACTTCTAAGCTTCTAATAGGAAACTCCAATCCGTTCAGCAGGTGGAAAAGTAAAGAACTGAACCCCTCCCTTTCCACCCTGGCCCGACAAGGCATCTTGGGTCCTAATAGGAATGTCTGTGCGTTACAGACCCTTGAGAGGTATTTCTCTACTGCAGGGGATCTCCCAGTTCAGTCCCCTTGGGACAACGGTGTCTGGAGGAGGTCCTGGCTACTCGGGCAGGTAAGGAGCCAAAGTTGGTAAAAGCCACTCACATTTGGGCAGTGACCACCAATCTGACCTGGGCTGCAGGCCCAAGACCTCCTTATTTTCCTCCACGTTTCACTCAGATATACTGCTGACCTGTCTTCCACGTAACCCCCATAACTACGAAGACAAGAAGGCCGGTCCCAACTCCATCCTACCCCCTTATGCCCATCTCTGGGGAGATCTGGCCCTTTCTGCAGCTCTGGAGAAAGATCTTGCAGCGGGCTTCCCTAGGCAGGGGCCTTCCCCAGACCCGGAAAGGGGAGGTTCCTTTGGACTGTTCCACAACACCATGGGCTCAGCTCCGTCCCGGTTTGCTTGTCTTTTGAGGACCCCCACTCACCCACCCGGCTGTTGCCTTTGGTGCGCCCTTGGCCAGGGGGACAGCGGTGCAGGTGAGACCGCGCCACTTGGCTTGAAGTGTGGCCACCCCATCCCTTGCCCAGGCCTCGGTGGGTCCCTGACCGAGGAGCTCAGGAGCGGCTGAGACCCCGTCCCTTACAGCGCACGAAGCCCTCGCCCGAGCTGTGAGACCGCGACAGCGCAGAGGCCCAGCGGCAATGGCCCTGCACGCGGCGCTCCGGCCACCGGGTGGGGGTGGGGGCGCGCGGCCGCGCAGCCTAAGCCGCGCTCGTTAGGTAGTTGGGGGACCGGAAGGATGGCGAGGAAGTAGGAGAGGGTTTCCTGAGATGAAAGATTACTTCCGTCCGCGCTCTGGCCTCTCTCTGGAGCCGGCTCGGTGGGGGCTGGGGAGCGGGCTGCGCCAGGCTGGGGGCCGCGCCTTGCCACCTGCAGCGCCGGGGCCGACAGGACGCGCGCGGCCCGGTCCGGGGCTCACGCGGGGGACCCTTGCAGGTGGGAGTCGAGAGCACTTCCAAGAGCCCAAGCCATGGTGGCCAAGCAGCGGATCCGGATGGCTAACGAGAAGCACAGCAAAAACATCACCCAGAGGGGGAACGTAGCCAAAACCCTGGTAAGGCGGAGGCGGCGCCGCGCGGGCCGGGCGGGCAGGGCCGGGAGCGGGGCGGGGCGGGGCGGCGGCGGGGCCCGGCCTCCCAGCTCCCGCGCCGGGCCCGCCCCTCCTGCGGCCGCGGCGTGGGCTCGAGAGCTAGGCTGAGGCGGCGGACTCGGCGGTGCTCTCGTGCGGGGAGGGCCCTGGTTGGTCGTGACCCCTCTGGGAGTGGCTGCTGGGGCTACCACGGAGGCAAGGAGGAGCCTCCCCAGGAGCGAATTGGCCTTTGTCTCTGGGAGAGACGGAAAGCACATAGTTGCAGGACTGCTAAGGAAACTGCCTGGCACAGGGTCCTGAACCTGCTAGGTGCTAGAACGTTTGTTAAATTAGTGACGAATGAATGAATGAATGAATGAATGAATGCCATTTATCATCTCCCCCTCCCAGGCTTCACCCCCTGCCCGCCATACCCAACAGACACACACCATGATCAAGTTTTCCTTCCAGCCCCTTTGAATGGTCTCCCTGTGTACTCTGGAAAAGCAAAATGAGATGCAGACCCAGATTTCCCTACATCCTCCTATTTTGCCTTTTCTCCAGTGAGGCCTCTCACCACTGGGCTAAAGTTTAAATGCAACTTTCCTGTTGTTCAACCTGTGCAGTCAGGCTCACTCTGATGGTGTGATCCAGAACTTTAGAGACTAGTTAATTGCCAGGCATCCTGTGCCCCCAAAACTGTATTAAAGCTTTATGACGACTTTTAAGTAAAACCTGTGCCTTATGCACAAGGTTTTTTGTGGGGTTTGTTTTTGTTTTGTCTTGTTTTGTTTTGTTTTGTTTTGTTTTTAGCAATGCAAATTATCTTCAACAGAAAATACCAGGCCTATGATTTTGGACACTCAGGGGCATGCCTCGGATGAGTTTGGGGGCAGTGGGAGTCTGCAAGTCTGTGAGAAAAGGCACATGGAATCTATTATTCCAGGTAGTTAAGTGGAAGTCCAACTGAAGCTTGAGATTTGGCTGGAAAAGCTTGCAGACTTGATGAGACAATTCCTTTTGGCCAAAGAAATGATGGATCTACAATCATTACACCAGAATCCTTGCAAAACCAAGCAGTACTAAGCAGAGAAACCTAAGGATCAAACTCAGCTTTATGCACAGCTCCAGGCTGAAGTCATGCTTGAAATTCTCTCACGTGGGAGTTAGATCATTTAGTTATGATTGGCCAGCAAAATGTCAATGTGCCATTGAATTGGAATCATTATTCAAATAGATCTATGTTTCCCCTATTTATTTTTACTCATTAAAAAAAAAAACAACAACAAAAAAAAACTTGCTATTCAAATTAACATTGACAAACATTTTTTAATTGATGTTAAAGCAATCAGGATTTTATGTCCCTAGGATATCCATTCTTCCTAGGATATCATACAGACTAGCTGATGTGCTGAATAAATAATCTCTAGTTGTGTGGTTCTTTTAATAAACCAGGATTCAGTTGTCAACTGAGCTGACTATAAAAGTAACAACAAAACAAACAAAATATGCAGAGCTGTTTTATCCGTTAGGCTTGGTTAACTCCGTGTCTGCCACTTCTAGCTTTTCAAGACCACGAGAAAATGTTTGAGACCTGAAACAAAAAGTACTGGTTCCCAAATAAGAGAAGAAAATGGGGGGAAAATTGGAGGAAAATCTGTTTAAATATCTAGAAAATGTAGTCACCTGCAGTTCAACTCAATTCAACTTTCAGAGCTGCATTCAAATTATGATTAATCTATGGTATGAGTGTATTTTAATAGGTTCCAATATACCATGGAGTAGGCCCTTCAAAAGTGCCTGGCACCTGTGAGGGTTTTTAAATGGCCATACTAAATTTGTAATGAAAATTTTCCAAACCAAGCCACAATATATATTTGTTTTCCTTTGGTTAGAAGGGTTTTTTGGTCAATTTTATTATAAGTGGATCAGCATCCCAAGAAAAAAATTAAATTCTCTTTTAAAAAGCAACACTTTAAATCCTAAGTTTTATTTTTCTAATTACAGGCCAAGCATATTATACTTTGAAAGAATGAATTTGTAAGGAATAACTTGTTCAGGTAAAAGTCAATAAATGCAGACAGATGAACAGATTCTAACTGAAAACTCAGACTAATCATTCAGAAATAAAGCCCTTTGATTGTGTGCAGATGCTCCAGTATTTCATTATTAGTTAATAGCTATGAAGTGAATCAATATTATTGTCCCAGATAGCAGTAAGCCAATAAACAGAGAATTAGAATAATCATTTCATGATTACACAGTAGTAACTTCTTCAGAATGAAGAGGAAATTTAAATTTCAGAGTTCTGGGTCACCCTGCTGTTATCACAGGGAAAGCCATCCCCTGACATTTTAGAGCCTCGGGAAATGGTAAAACTCCTGTTTGAAATGAACCATGTCATTTGCAGGATTCTACTGCTTTTCTTACTTTTCCCAGCAGTAGATTCAGGGGTAGGTGAATTGTCCCAGTGGGATTTTGCTGGGTCCCATTTCCATCAAAAAAAAAAAGGGCTATATTGGTATTAGATCACCCAGGTATTCCTGCTCTCTGAAAGTCCCCCAGATAATATTGATTCACTGGGAAATGTCATCAAAAAGGTTTCAGCTCCCTGGACGGTTTGGCTCAGCGGTTGAGCGACGGCCTGCAGATCAGAGAGTCCCGGATTCAGTTCCTGCTAGGGGCACGTACCACCAAAAAAAAAAAAAAAAGGTTTCAGCTCCAAGCTCTGCATGTTAATAATTTGTGTTTTCTGCAGAGAAAAAATAAAGCACTTCCTTTGGTATCTGCCTAGACCAATAATTCATTTACAGGCGTCTGAATTCACTTGTTGGCTTTGCTGGAGATGAAGCAAAATGAATTTTTCTATAACATTAGCAGGATGACAGCAAGAGAATTGGTTTGTGGTCAGCTATGACAAGGTGTTAGGAAGTTGGTGAAAAAGAGAGGGGTAAAGTCACACTCTGTTCAGGTAATGTTATTTAATATCTCTACTATTTACTTGATCTGACCTTGACCTGGTCTTAAGTGCCAAAGAATGACACGATAAAAGTGCTGGTTAAAGTTACCTTACGCAACTATTTAAGACCAACTTTGTCCTTGTCTAGTCAAGGGCAACCACCTCTTTTCTTGCAGCGTGATTTGCCCTCGTACAAGAGCTGTGGTAAATATACGCTTATCAAGAACAGAGAGGTGAATGGTTTTAATCCTTAGCCAGAGCCTCCCTGCCTCTGACACTTTAATCCATACTCCTCTAGTAAGAGAAATGAGGGCTAACCCTACTGCCAATTAGGAAGTACAATAAGAAAAGACAATATCCTTCCTTGATCCTGTCTTTATTCTACCTGACCTAAAAAATCATGTTTAATGAAGCTTGTATGCTTATTCATTCTTCAGTGAACATTTATTGAACATCTACTATGTTTAAGTTCTGTATTAGGCATTGCTATATATGAGAGAGAAAGTGCCTGCCCTGTGGGGCCTACAGTCTAGTGGAGAGCCAGACATTAAACATATTATCATGAGAATAAGCAAAGATACAAACTGCGATAAATATCAAGAAAAAATACATGGCTACATACATGACAAGTGAGCCCAATTGAGACAGATGAGAGAAGGCTCTCTAAGAATGTTAACAGGTAAACTGTGAACCAAAGAATCGTTCCCTTATCTATAATCAAATGAGTTCTTTAACTTATAGCCACTATATCCTATTCTTGGCTCACACCATCAAGCAAATAGTGAGTTCTAGAATTTTTTTCACTCTACCTTCCTCCTTTTTATTTGAGAAATTCTCCAGTTTTTTAGATGCCTCTCAGAAAATATTGTTTTTCTATCATTTGATTTTATTTTTGAGAACCAAGCCCTACCTGCAAATAGACCCAGAGGGTCTGCAGAGGGACGTTCTTATTACATCTGTGCTTTTGATTCGAGAAGAACAAGAGGGGTGCGGGGTGGATGGGTGCGGGTACCACAGTCCCCTCTGCTTCCCAGGGAATGCACACATTTCTCCAGAGTGTAAGCTTCATGGGCATTTAGGAACTTGATTACAGAATGCTGCTTCCCTCACGTCCGTTCACAGTTGCTGCGGTGCTGCTGCGATCCCAAGGGTTTCTCTGCACTGCCTTCCCAAATGTTTTGGCACATAGAAGGTTTTGAGAACATGGCTGTGCTCTGTGACCTGACTTAGAATTCAGATGTGAGAGTTGCAATGAACCTATCAGTGGAAAACACCCAGGCTCTGCAATGAGGCCGACCTAAGTCGGAGTCCCAGCTCTTGCTCAAGTGAGCGAACAAACGTGGGCTTCAGTTCTCAGCGACAGACAGAATGGAGCTGAGTTGAGGTGCGAGTGCTGGAGGCGGCGGGTGTGGGCTTCTCGGTAGCCTCCTGGCACACAGCGGGCTCCAGCAAATGGAAGCAATTATTAGTAATATCACTTTTGGCTCCCAAATCACTGTATTAGTTTTGTGTATTTATATCCTGCCCCCAAAACATTTAAGACCACCAAGTTCAGTGAGTTATAGGGATGTAAGTTGGTTATTGATGACCTTTTTTAAACCTATCTTGACCCTTTACAAATGACTTTCTCCATCTGTATCTGCCCGCAGGGCACTGGGGCGGAGCCTGTCTTCTTCGCAGTGGGGGTCCCTGCCCCCAGCACGGCCACTGTAGTACTCAAAAAGTATTTCCTGAATCCATGAGCCTAATCTCACTTTCTCCCATTCTCTCTTAGAGGCCGCAAGAAGAGAAATATCCTGTGGGACCATGGCTGTTGGCACTGTTCGTTTTTGTTGTCTGTGGCTCAGGTATGGGTTTTTCACTGACCTTATGTCCCATGTTCTTTCTGTCCTTCAAAAGCACATGTTTCATTCACAAGGTAAATAGACAAAAAGTATATTAGTCTGAGATTCAGGTTAATCTCTGCCCAGGGCCTTAATCTTAATGGGTTTTCATTTAATTTCTATTCCAGCAGACCAAATATGAGTAGAGATAGAAATGATATGCTATCAATTTATAATCATAAAATGATTACGCTAAGCAATTGAATTGGCTATATTTTAATACAGAGTTCAGTTAACCCTTTCTGGGAAGACAGTGTCAACGCATTCACAGCAGGAGGTGCAGCTCCTGACTGACCATGATAAAGCCACATTCCAGCGGGAGGGAGAGGCTTATGCCTGAAGGGCGTCTATGTAGAACTGAGCCTTTGACCTGAGCCTCAAGGTACAGTCACCTCATACTGGAAGGTGACAAGCTCAGAGAGCGTCCCTTACACTGACTTGCAAACACACACATACAAAGAGAAGACCTGAGTAAAAGGATCATGTGGTCGTTCCTAGCTGAATTCTGCTATTGGGAGTCTTAACATAATTTCTGGTCCCCAGGGATTGGGTCTCTGAAGTACTGGTGAGTGGAGGTTACTTCTAACAATAAGGTCGGCTGTCTGAGGGTCCCACCTCCATCACCTCACTACTGCTGAGGGTAGGGAAGGCAGGAGTCCACATCTTCTTGAAAAAGACCTAGGCCTTCCACGAAGACATCATTATACCCAATGGCAAGAGACAGCCTCTGGTCTTCAAGAAACCTCTGCCGAGGAAACAAAAGTTTTTAGAAGGAAGGAAGAATCCAAAGGACTTGACATGATTGTTGCTTGAGGCCCACATATTTTAAAGATGGTTTGGCATTCCAAGATGAGATCTATTCAAAGAAATGAAACTGTACCCCATTTCTGAAGCTGTGTCCTCAAAGGGAATCTTTTGCCCAAGACAGAGATTCCTCATTTTTAACAGGTTACCTGTCCTCTGCTGGGATACTTCTGAGGGTGGAGGGCCCACTTCTTCAAAAACCCACCCCATTTCTATATGGGTCTAATTTTATTAGAAATGTCTCCTCTCTTTTGAACTACGCTGTGCTGTCTTCCCAGTAATTCAGGTGTAGACTCCTAGAGCAACACAGCAAGACTCATTCTGTTCTGAACATTTTCAAGCTGAGTGGTTCCTTCTGCTGGGGAAACTTCCCCAATTGTCATCCCAGCCTCACAAGATGTGGTTTCTTGATACACACCATGGCCCTCTTTTTTTTTTTTTTTTTTTTTTTTATCCTCACCCGAGGATATTTTTCCATTTTTTGTACAGATAGAGTGGGAGGGAGAGAGAGGTAGGGAGAGAGAGTGAGAAACATCGACGTGAAGGGACACATTGAGTGGCTGCCACCCACACGGCCAACCAGGGCCGGGGACAAACTGCAACCGAAGTACGTGCCCTTAGCGGGAACCGAACCCGGGTCTTTCCAGACCCCAGGCCGACGCTCTAACCGCTGAGCCAAACTGGCCAGGGCCACCATGGCCCTCTTAAAGAAAAGCATTTGCAACTGCAGAAATTGGTCTAGAAGTGGTATGAATGCTACCGAGGCAGTAGAATCGTCACTGCACTTGACCTCAGGGCTCTGCTCCTACTAAATGACCCAACTTGCAGTTTATTCTGAACAGTCACAGCACATTCTAGACTCACAGGAGGGTGATGGCCAGCCAGGCCCCACCGAGATCTTTACATAAACTTCCTGCAGGCTTCAGAGGCAGCTACCTAATCCCATCCAAACGTGTCCCCTCTCCCATCACATTGTTTTATTTTATTCACTCATCAACATTTGAAATTATTTTATTTGCTTACTTATTATCCATTTTCCTCTGCTAGGAAATAAACTCAAGGGAGGCACTGTTGTTGTTGTTGCTTTTTCCACTACATTTGTAGGTCCTACCATAGTATTTATGATATTATGAGTGCTCAGTATGGTTGGATGGATGGATGGATGGATGGATGGATGGATGGATGGATGAGTAAAGCCATATATCCACATACTGTAGACATCCAATTGACTTTTTGAGACCTAACATAAAGCTTCATGAATATTTCTGTTAAAATTTTATTGTTGGTTTCAATTGCCTTTCTACAGAGTAGCTATACAGTCTGGAAACACAGAAGAACATGCATAATAAATGGCTTACCGATATTACAGTATAATGTGCAGTATGGTCAGTGACCTTACATGACCTATGCAATGCATCGCCCCCGTTAGCGATGCACAGTTCAGAGCACTGTGCAAACGGCAGTGACTTTGGTGCCCTGATGCAGCCGTTGCTCAGGGCATCTGTGATGCTACCTCGACGATCCATCTTATTGTCACTCCAAACAAGCTGTGCCTCAGCATGGCCCAGAAAAATAAAAAATTAATCCGTATAAAAAAGTTGTCTACGTTTTCAGGTTTTATGACCAACCCATAGATTGTTAGATCTTAAACCTTGAACCTTTTATCTAATTATCTTTCTTTCCCAGCTTCATAGTCTCTGCCAGTATATTATTTCTCCAAGTCTCTGATAAAGTCTAGATCTGGAAACGCCCCTGGGACACAGTTAGAGACGCTTCCCGTCAGGTTGACTTTGAACCTCTCAGCAGAATTCTTGCAAGCAATCGTCATGTCTTGAGGGTCCCCCATGTGCCTGGCATTGTGCTGGGCTTTGAAACTACAGCTGCCTCCAGAACCTACAGGCACTGGAGGAGGAAGATAAGGAAGCTGCCGTTGTAACCCAGGGAAAGGGCGCTATGATAGCAGAGTGCCCAGAGCGCCCAGAGCACGATAAGAGACTGTCTTAGTCCATTCAGCTGCTATAACAAAATACCACAGCCTGGTGGCTTATAAACAGCAGAAATGTATTGCTCACAGTTCTGAAGTTAGGAAGTCAGATTTGTGTGTTGGTATGATCAAGAGAGGGCTCTTTTCCTGGTCACAGATTTCTCCTTGTGTCTTCAAATGGCATCCTTATGTAGCAGAGGGGACAGGGAACCCTCTGGGGTCTCCTTTTTAAAAGCACTCACTCGTCTGGCTGGTGTGGCTCAGTGGTTGAGCATCAACCCATGCACCAAGAGGTCGCCAGTTCGATTCCCGGTCAGGACACATGCCCAGGTTGTGGGCCCGATCCCCAGGGGGAGGCATGCAGGAGGCGGCCAGTCCATGTTCTCTCTCATTGGTGTTTCTATCTCTCGCTCTCTCTTTCCCTCTCATTTCCTCTCTCTGTAAAATCAGTAACAGAAAAATGTTATAAAAACAAAAAATAAAAATAAAAGCACTCATCTCATTCATGAGGCCTCCACCCTCATGACCTAATCACCTCCCAAAGGCCTTCTACCGTCATCATAGTAGGGATTTCAACATGTGAATTGGGAGAGCACAGTCAATCAGACTGGCAGGAACTTCTAAATTATACTGGACAGAAGAGGAAGTTTCCCAGAGGAGGTGCAGTTTGAGCTGAGTTTTGAAGAACAAACAGGAAGGAACATTGAAGGAACATTGTGTGACAAAGCCAGAGGCTTGAGATAGGCCACCGCGCCACCGCTCGGGAATGGCCACCACCCAGCCCTGGGGATCTGTGAGGCCAGGCATCATGCAGCCCTCCCCCCCCCCCCCCCCCCCGTGCTGTGCCCCTAGCAGGGAGGGGAGAGTTATCTGGTCTGGCTTGTTTTTCTCAAACCTCTGCCAGTTCTCAGTTTTTATCCTTTGCAAAGGACTTTAAAAAAAATCTTCTCTAAATTACATTTTTTAAAAATGATTTTAAATATTTTTTCTTTATTAATTTTAGAGAGAGAGGAAGGGAGAGGGGGAGAGAGAGAGAGAAACATCCATGAGAGAGAACATTGATTGAACGCTTCCTGCATGCCCCCCACTGGGGATTTGGCCCACAACCTGGGCATGTGCCGTGACTGGGAATCGAACTGGCAACCTCTTGGTGCATGGATCGATGCTCAACCACTGAGCCACACCGGCCAGGCCCTAAATTACATTTTAATTCAAATGTTGCCAGACTTGTTGGTCCACACAGCAGGAACTGTACCCACACTGGTTTGGAGCCCTCCCAGGTTCCAGGAGTGATCTCAGGGATCGAGTACACTGGCTCTGTTATCCCGTCTGTCCAGGGGCCTGGACTGCAGACTGCAGGGCCTGGAGACTTGCAGGGAAAGTGGAGAAGAAAACACCACCCTCCCTGGCGTGCCTTTGTGTCCAGCGCTCTCCTAGCGATGCTTCTCCATTGACCATTCTGCTTTTTTGGAGAGCAATAAATCAAATGGGAGTTGGGTCATCTGACTTTCTCTATCCTGTTTACAAGCTACCAGGATCCTTAAGTACTGAGCCTCATCCCGTTTTTAATCACAACTAAGAATAATCCACCACCACCACCTTTTTGTTTTGCCAACTTGAGCCTTTTTTTCTGCGAGCCTCAGCTCAAGGTGGGCTCTGTTCTCTCAGAATGTGTCCCTCTCCTCAGCGTGTCCTTGGTGCTGTGCCCTTCCTTCTACCTTTGTACGTGTCCTTTTCTAAACCAAACAGGTCATGAAAAACATAATAGCGCCTTAGATGTGTCCCCGCTGCCACCTCTCTGGGATTAGTCTCCATTCAGTTCGTTTTGCAGAGCCCAGGAACCTGAGTTTCTCCGTTTAGAGTCGCAGGCCATGGGCTCACCTATCCTTTGTCTGCATGTAAGAGAATGTGATTTCCTCGAGCCCAGCCATTGCGTTCCTCAGTTCCTCTGCTTCATGTACAAGCCTTCTCGGCGCTAGGATCACTGAAGCCCCTTATCACTGTTCTCTGTCGCCTCTATCCCAGTCCTGTGACCCAAAGTAGGAGGGACCACCGGCATCTCATGGCCGACAGTCCATTTGGGCTGTGCACACAGTCGCTTCTGCTCTTGCCTGTCACACACCAGATGCTCCGCAGTTTCCGGGAGGATTTCCACCCTGCAGATACGCACCCCGTC